GGGAGGAGGGGTCTGCGGGCCGGGGCCGCACCCTGCGCGGGCAGGCAGGGGAAGCTTGCACGGCTGTACCGTACGCACACACACACGGGGGTGCGTGTGTAACCGAGTGTTGCCAGCCCCAAGGAGCCCAACACCGAACGGTCAGTTAACGGTTGGAGTAGATGATCTTCAAGGTCTTTTTCCAACCGAGATGATTCCGGGATTCTGTGAACATGAGTGAGCAGAAAGCTGCTGCGGCAAGGAGAGCCAAGGGGTGCGGGGCTGCAGCACCAAGGGCATCCCCAGCAGCGATAAAGGAGTCCTCATGCCATGGCTCAGCGGTCGTCAGGCCACACTAGGAATACCGCATCCAGTTTTGGTCCCCACTATACAAAAAGAGACGTGGCCAGGCTGGAGAGGGCCCAGAGGAGGGCCACAGGGATGGGCAGGGGACTGGGCAACCCAGCGAGGGAAGGCTGAGAGAACTGGGTTTGTTCAGCCTTGAGAAGGCTTAGGGGAGACCTTAGCACCATGTTCCAGTATTTAAAGGGTGGCTACAAGGAAGACCGAGACTCCCTTTTGACAAGGAGTCACGTGGAAGTGATGAGGGGTAATGGGTACAAGTTACTCCTGGGGAGATTCTGACTGGACACAAAAGGAAAATTTTCCACAGTGAGAACAATCAGCCACTGGAATAATCTCCCCAGGGGAGTGGTGGATTCCACAATGTTGGACACTTAAGATTCAGCTGGACAGGCGCTGGGCCACCTTGTCTAGACCAGGCTTTTGCCAGGAAGGTTGGACCAGATGATCCCTGAGGTCCCTTCCAACCTGGGATTCTATAATACTGATTTTTTTATGGGGCTGGTCTGATGGATGAAGGGAGAGGTTCTACCCACCCTTCATTAACTGTAGCTGTTCCTATGCTTAATTTCTATCCCAACAGCTAAACCTGCCCTTTGTGCCCAATAGATTTCAAAAGGCAGTTGGAGGAGGCCCCAGAGCCACCATAAGCAGTGGCCCCCAGCTTCTTGGGTGGACTGAGAAATGGGGTAATAAAAGGGGATTAGCTGGACTGCAATAGAACACTCATCACCCTCAAACACTTGGCCATGCCTGTCATGCCTCCCCAGTTGTGGTTAAGTAAATGGTATGAATTTATAGATAGAACTAAGAAAAATTAGGAAGAGTTTTAGAACACAGAAAGGGAAACGACCAGGAATGGCAGCTTCCTCCATACGCAGCTGAAATCCTAGAATGGTTTGGGTTGGAAGGGAATTTAAATCTAGTTCCACCCCCCTGCCCCAGGTAGGGACACCTTCCACTAGCCCAGGTTGCCCAAAGCCTGGTCCAACCTGGCCTTGAACCCTTCCAGGGAGGGGGCAGCCACAGCTTCTCTGGGCAGCCTGTGCCAGGGCCTCACCCCTCTCACAGGGAAGAATTTCTTCCTTAGATCTCATCTGAATCTGCTGTCAGTTTAAAACTGTTACCCCTCATCCTATCCCTATCCTTCCTCATAAAGAGTCCCTCCCCCCTTTCCTGTAGCCCCTTTCATTCCTGGGATGCAGCTCTACGGTCTCCCCAGAGCCTTCTCTTCTCCAGCTGAACCCCCCCCAACTCTCTGAGCCTGTCCTCACAGGGGAGAGGCTCCAGCCTCTGATCATTTTCATGGCCTCCTCTGGCCCCACTCAAGCAGGTCCATGTGCTCCTGACACTGGGGGCCCCAGAGCTGGACCCAGCACTGCAGGGGAGTCTCACGGGAGTGATATCGTTCTAAACATTCGCAACCTAGAAAAAAATCAAAAGGAAAACAACAGAGGTAGCTGAGGGCACCAAAAGTGGGTTTTGTTATATTGAGAGATTTAGGTCAATGCTATTTAGAAAAAAAAAAATTGAACACTGACTTGAGCACAGTATGAAACACCTGTGTCTACCAGTTGTATTTAACAGAGTATACTGGATTTATTTTTGTTACACACAGCACAACAGCCAATTCATTCATTAAACCTAAAGGAAACCCTAAACCACTCAGAACTTAAATCAGATTCTGTTGGTGCTTTACGGTAGTTGATTATCAGTCAGCTCAGCATATGATCTTATGTCTTTTTTTACCTGTTTAAGTCATAAATAAAAGCAAATAGATGTAAGAGCGAGATGCTTGCATGCTATTGTGTGCAACTTATTTAATGAGAATCCACTCAATTAAGACTTGATATTTTTAAAAAATCCTTAATTTATTAATTCATTTAGAAAATTTTGCGATGAGGAACAGTGAGCAAGAAACTTAACTTCAGCCATAGCTGAACATTTGCCTGCTTTCACTTCCTTAAATCTGTATGAGGAACTGGGAACAGTTCCTCCTAGAGAGGATACATTTGTCTGTATCTTCACAGAAAAATGGTACTTCCATTTTAGCCTGAATTTTGCACCTGATATTCTTCCTAACATAGATGGTAAGAAATCACTGTGAACAATGACAGAAAAGAAAAAAAAAACAAAACAAACAGCACTGGAATGACTTGCACAGTAACATCCTTCCCCCGCCCCCCCTCTCCCCAACTGGCACACCACTTGTTTCTCTTGTGTGATGCAGTCACAGCAAGGAAACCGTAGCCAAAGCTCCTCTCCATTAAACCATCCAGTCAGCAAAACACCACAATAAGCACTGAAGGAGTCCTACGGTGCAATTATAAAGAGACTGTCAGCGTGGGCCTTTTCCACAGACAAAAACCACCCCTAGATTAGTTCATTTTTGCATTGGATGTGCTAAGTTTTTAACCATATGCTGAGTTCATAGATGTTCAGCGAAGCTTATTTCACCTTGACAGGAGAAGTCCTAACCAAGCATCACTATCAGGCAGGATCTGCATCAGGAACAGCTGCTGGAACTTCAGGCTGAACCTGAAACACGGTGGCCAAAGGGAAGGACATATATAGGCTGTAGGTTATGCTCTGCGCGTGCGTGCTGCGCCGACGAGAACCACCGCAGTTACCAGGACACCTACCCAACACCTGCTTGCTGAGGCAGAGCACTGGTGACATGCTGCCTTCTGAAGCAGGACCTGAACAGGCAATTCTCTCCCACTTTCTCAGTGAAGATTTCGACAGCCCGGCAGTGCTGGCAAACATAACACACTCCTTGTTTTCTTCAACAGTCTCGGACGCTTCGCTTTTCATACTGATTTGGCATAAACTTCAGAGGCTTGGGTGGGGTGAGGAGAACCACTGGCCTAAGCCCTACTTCAAATGCACATAATCAAGAGGCACAGTGCTTGCAGCGACACTGCATCTGGTAGTGCTTTAGGCAGCGTGTCATGGGCTAAAATAGCTGCCTGAAGCAATGAGATAACCTTTCTCCCGTTACAAACACATACACGGTTGGTACAGTAACAGCAACACGCTGGTCCTCCTACCCCACTACCTCCTCACAGAATCATCTTGGTTGGAAAAGACCTTGAAGATCATCCAGTCCAACCATTAACCTCACACTGACAATTCATGCAGGGTTGCGGCTGGCAGGGTTTCGGCCACCGGCCCTGCTCGGCTCAGAGCCCTTAACCCCTCACATCCCACTGCTCAGGAGCTGACAGAACAGCACTGTCATACCTTGGCTTCTTTTACAGCAAGAAATAACCACTGTTCCTCTTTAACACCCAAGGGAGAAACACTCCCTGAGAAGAGTAAAATCACCAAGAGTTGGGAGTGTTTCTGCAGAGCCTCCTGACCTTCAGCTGGTAACTAGAACATACAGACCCTAGTGAAGTACTAAACGAGGCTCCAATCATAAAGAATTAACTGTCCTTAAAAACACACAACAGCAGCAGAATAAGTTCTTGTTCCACTAAATCCTTTTAAGAGTTGATGACATTTCTGTGAAGAAAAAGCATTACACTGCAAATATCACATTTTCCCCTCACAGTTAATACTGAGGAATCCTCAAAGGAAACATCTTTAAAGCACTACAGCAATTCACACTGCTGTTCAGACTTCTGTGAGAGTCAACACGAAGGTTTTTGCTTTTCTAGATGTTTCATAAGGGTTATACTCAATATTTGTTTTCCTACCTTGTACCATGGAAGATCCAAATGCTGCATGGCACTAGAGAAAGATGAGCACATTTAGAATCTAGTACTATGACTTGTAAAACCAATCCCAAACCAAACAAAACCCCAGGCCTCCTGTATGAGCAGTAACTAGTCAATAATAGAAACAATCAGGTGGAACCACAATATACAGGTTTTCCTCTGAGAAGTTAGTAAGTCTGGATGTCAGAGAGGAACTGACTACAGCGATGCTAGTCACAAAATTATTGGTCAAGTCTTGGCAAGAACAGTCCCATGTAGCATTTCAGAGCAAAGGAGGCAGTTGTTTATTAATGACAATCAAAACAAAAGTGATAAAGCAGATACTTCTTTAAACATAAAGTTGCTAGTCATCTGGTGTTCTGTCAGGCTCCTTTTTTTTTCTTCTCTTTTTTTATTCAGGTGTAGTTACAAAAATCCATAGAGGATTTGGGGAAACACCATACTTCAACATAAATTTGTCATCTATGACAAATTCTGAACAGCAAACATCATATAATGAAAAAAAACTCAAAACGTATTTACAAATTCATACTCTGTAGTCATTGAGGAATTTCTTGGTTACTGAGTGGTAGATTATGCATGTACACTACATTCCAATCAGAGTCACTTAGCATAAAATTAAGATGAAAGACAGATTGTCTAAAAATAAGGCCAGTTTCATTCCTAATTTATGCAGCTGAAAAACAGAATTTTCTAGTACTTCTATGTTAATTTAAAAAAAAAAAGAGCATAAGAGCACCTGATCTCACCCAAGAGATACACAGACCAGACTGCAAGTTTAATTCTCAGCAGGGATTATCAAGAGTAGAAACTCATGAGAAAGGACAATACTATACACCTTTTTTTGCCATCTTGTCTATTGCTAATTTTAAATGCTTGTATAAAAAAAAATCCCCACACCGTATTTGCAATATGATCATAAATAGGCAATAGTTTAAAAATGTAAGATATGATTACCTCGAACTATCAAGCTGTTTTGTACTTCAGAAAAAAGTGAACAAAGCCCAAACACCTTTGTCTTCCTCCCCCTCCCTCCCCCTG